ACATAGAGACAGAAAGCGAGAAATCACCCCCCAGGGAGAATGGTCACGCAGCAATCCCTTCTCCTCCATTCTCCTCTGGGATCTTGGGCATGCACGCACCAGCGCCCGGCGTGAGTTTTAAGCCACCGGATCCGGGACGCAAACTGTGTTCGACTACGTGGGAGTCCAGCGACATAGCCATTACGCTAACTGCTGGTTCCCCCAATAGCATACTTTTTACTGAGTCTAAGAGTGTGTATCAATTAGAAAAAAATTTTCAGAATAATAGTTTCCCCTTGTAAATAATAGCAAACTAGCTTACAAGGTGTAATGTGTGTAGTTCTGGGTCAAACATTATAATCAGTTCAATCTAGACACTTTACCTGAAGGTTTGCCATAAATAAAAAATATTTAAATGGCATTCTGTCATTGCTGTTTATTTAGACTTTTATTTACTGTTTTTTTAAATTATTCTTGATAATTTAGTACTTTCTCATTAGAATAGACTAAGGAAAGTAGAAAGCTTTGATATGTAGGTTTTCATCATAGTAGAAACTGTTTTAAGTTACAGATCAAAGCAACTTTTGAGATTAACTAGCATTGGTTATATTTCAATACAATTCTAATCACCATCTTCTGACAACTGAGTTGAAACTGTCACATTCAAACTGAAGTTCATCTGTAGTAACATATACAAATACTCTTTATTCCATAACTTAATATAATAGTAAAACTAATTAAATGACATGAAATGACTGCATTATTAATAATTATAAAATTTTTAAATTCAAGTTGTGATTGAATCTCTCCATATTACTCTTCAATTCTGTCCCAACTGGGACAATAATTCTAAGTGATCATTAAACATACTACAGAGTTAAAGCAAAGCAATTAAACTAGAGAAGATTCTCTGATTGTGTAGAGCACCAAAAAATCTCAACTTGTCCTTCATATATTTAGGTTTAATAGTAGACTGTTGACAACTTCACAGACTCCAGAGCTGAAACTCTAGCCTCTCCCTCAGATTTGTTATATTTTATTTTTAGATGCAATCACTTCCCTCCGGTAAACAGTTAGTGACCACACACACAGGTTTGCACATGAGGGAACTAAAAAGGGAACCTTGCGTTGAGAATCAGATACACAAGACATAAGAAGAACCCCTGCCAGGCCATGCCCTGAGAGTCAGTCATATTCTTCAATAATCCTTTTGACGGTGCTCTGCTGACATTTTCAATTACTGCAAATGATACTCGAAGTTAAGCAATTTCCACGGCACGTTCAGCACGTGCTGCTTTGTGAGCACCTTCTACCAAATGGCATGAAAAACATCAACTCAATTTTTTGAGTGCTTTGCATTCTGTGAGTCTTTGTTTAATTCAGATATGTCTTGAATTTGCACTCTAAGGAAAATCTCTCAGAGCTCAATTTGGTAAAGTAACTTGGACCAAAATGTGTCCATTTTGGTAGTCTTATAAACAAATACAATCTGATTAAAGAATTGAGATATTAAGCTACAGAAACAAAACATCACGGGCATTTCTTTATTTAACTCTATTTGTTATTTTTACAGCAGTTTGAGTCCTAGACCTGGCAGCTTGCTTTCTCACTTTCTCTCTCTCTCTCTCTCTTTCTCTAGTCAAGCTAAAATAAATAAATTAAATTAAATAATCATGTTTTTAAAAATTGGAAAAACACACACACACACACACACACACACACACACATCAGGCGTATCCCCAAATGGGGACCACTCCCCTATGTGAGAGGATTAAGTTCTGGAGCTCTGCTGTGCAACACTGTGCTTATACCTCACACACCTAAAAGTAACTAAGAGAGCAGATCTCATGTTAAGTGTTCTTAACACATACCTCACACACCTAAAAGTAACTAAGAGAGCGGATCTCATATTAAGTGTTCTTAACACAACAACAACAAAAGTTACTAGGGCAAAAAATAAAGTAACAAAAAATTAAATAAAAGAAGATAAAATTTTAAAAAGTAAAATAAGGGCCAGAAGATGGCATAGCAGACACATCACTGGACTCCCACATGGTCAATCATAGTTTGAGTCCCAGACCCAGTGGCTTGAAAATCACACAGGGTACATGCAAGATCCTGGGAGGGGAATGAAAGAGAAAGGATTGGGGTATGGCCGTCTCCTCTCAGGGGGAGCGAGTTCTCACTTTCTCTCTCACTGTCCATTGTCTCTATCTGTCTGTCTTTCTCTGCGGAGTACATGCTCCCTGAGACAAAAATCTCTTAAAAAAAAAGAAGAAGAAGAAGGTAAAATAAGTCTGATGGTGGCATAAAATGCAAGATAGCCAACTGAGGAGGAAAAAAATACAGAAAAATGAAACCTCACTTAATTATCCCGAAGTGTTTCTCCAAGTTTTCCCTTAGATATTATCCTGCATTAAGTTCATCTGGGGAGTTTGTTAAAGATATAAATTACTAAAGCCCACTGCAGCCTGACCTGCAAAATGGAAATAGGGCAGAGACTCAGAAATCTTTCTCGAAATGGGAGTGGAACCACACTATAGATCTTTCCAATCATTCTGATCATCAGTAATATTTATTATGCACTAGCATATGCCTAAAAACTTTACCTTATCAACCAAAAGTTCATTCTCCTTTCTAACTTAAAAAGTCTTCTGATTAAATTGCAAAGCATATTACCTTTCTTTCTTCCTTCTTTTCTTCCTTCCTTCCTTTCTTTCTTTTTAAAGATTTATTTATTTATTTAATTCCATTTGTTATTATTATTGTTTCTTATTTGACCAGAGACAGAGAATGCAAGCCGCCAGGTCCGGGACTCAAACCGTGGCCAGTCATGTGGCAATCCAGTGCCCTTAACCACCACACCACCTGCTGGACCCCCTATGTTTCTTACAATGAAGACACATAAAGAAATTAATAAAAGCAGCAATAGACCAGCCACAGTGGTGCAGTGGTAACGCAATGAATGCTCTGTAAAGCTGAAGTCACATGGGAAAGTCCCAGGTTCATGTCCAAGGTCTCCCATGTACACGCCAGAAGTGTATGTGATATTGGCTGACTAAGACTGGGGTAGATCGTGGTGACCCTGTTGGGGGTTTCTGTGTGTCTCTCTCTCGCTCACCAGAGAAATAAATAGACAAGAAATGAGCAGCAACATTACCAGAACAAACTAAACTAATCTATAAAATAGTTTCTTTCCTTCTTTTTTCTCTTTTCTCTCTTCCTTTCTTTCTTTTTTTTTTTTTCTTTTCTCTTTTGTTCTATTGTTGGTATAAGTTACGGTTGATTTATTTCTCAATAAAATTTTTTTCCCCAATCTGTATGATGTCCTTTATACAGTAACAGAATTTCAAACTTTAATGTGGATTGTTGTAGGAAATGAACCTCCTGCCAAATTATTGAAAAATCATAAAGAGATAATATTCTGAATGTCTAAGATTTGGTATACCTTTTATGAGTGATTGTTTTAATTTTATGTTTGCCTCAAACTCGAAAGTCTCTACTAGAGGTAATTTGTACCTGTCCAGCAAAAATAATTATAGAAATATTCAAAAAAATAAGCACAAAACCTCTCCAAGTCTCACAATGCCTCATCTTATGTGATTATTTTCTGAATATTCTATATGTGATATTTTGCATAGAAAAATTGATGCTTTTCTTTCCTTAGCAAATGGTTTCTCTAATGTGTCTAATTCAACTTTGTAATATAAATTACATTTAGGCCAGTAACTTATACATACCCAATGTTTACAAAATGTCTTCCTGATTAATCTCATAATCAGTTTTCAAAATCAGAGGTGGAAGTAAATATTTCAAATAGCCTTTAAGTTCTTTGAAAGAATTTATGAGAAGACTGAAAAACGTAACAATTACAAATAAATAGTGTCTATTTGGTTTAAAAAGTGCTATATGAATGACAAACATTGTATATCTTGCTCAATATATACTGATTGTCTGCACTCTACAGGTGAAATGGAAAGATGTGAAGACATAATAGTAGAGAGGCCAAGGGACCAGCAGATGGCATAATGGTTATGTCACTGGACTTTCATGTAGCTGACCACAGTTTGAGTCATGAACCTTGTGGCTTAAAACTCATGCCACGTGCATTTGCTTGTGTGCTTAAAATCCTGAGAGGAGAATGGAGGAGAAGGGATTGCAGCATGGCCATCTTCCCTGGGGGATAGTTTCTCACTTTCTGTCTCTCTCTGTCTCTCTGGTGACTGCATACACCCCATAGCAAAAATCTCTCTTAAAAAAAAAAGAATAGTAGGGAGGGCAAGTGTCAATACCAGAAACTGCATGGGATATGTGGGATGGCAGAGCAAGAAGAGGGTAGTGAGGGAATGGGTGGGAGGGCCTCAGGGAAAAAGCATTTAGCAGACCCAAGAATATAAAGTTCTTTGTTGAAAATGATGGCTATGGGAAAATCTTTGATTTGATTATCACATACCACATGAATGCTTCGAAAAACCATATTGTACACTATAAACATATACAATTAAATGTAAATAATAAATTACAAAAAATCAAGAGTTCTAAAGATCTATTATCCTTTTTACCCCTCCTCTGAGATACTACAATACTGACATATAATTAAACTACATTTCTTTTTATACTGTTCTGTTTTTTACTTTTCTCTAATTAAGATTAGATATGTCATTTTTCATCTTAACTAGTGAATTTCCCTATGTATAGCTTGAGTAATCATTAAAAGAAAAAGAGACATATAATGTCAGACACACAGACATACATACATATATTTATATTTGTAAACATCAGTGACAGGAAAGAAAGGCTGGTTAGACTAAGATGATATGCATATAAGATACTGAAGTAACTTTAGAAATTCTCAATGAATGTCTTGCAAAGGAAAATAATAATAAAGTACCACTGATTCTGTATCAGTAGGTTTAATCTCTAGCCTCTTCCATTTTAACAAGATTTATTTTACTGATGGTTTAATATGTTAAAGACTCTAAATAATATTTGGTGATTGACCAAAGAAGCGGCCTGAATACCTGGCTTGTCCCTGACAGTCACAGAAGTGGAAGCAGGAAGCAGGAACATTGTTACCCAAAGCCAATGTTTCCAAGTGCCAAGGTGCCTCATTGTACCTTGAAACCATGTGAACAAGTGGTCACAAACCTGCAACAGAAAAACAACATTCCAGGTGAGTTTATTGTTTATTTTTAAAGAATGATTTTACTGAACTTTTATTTATTTATTAGTTTGTTTATTAAATCTGACCAGAGAGAAACAGAGTGAGACAGAGAGAGAGGAAAAGTGAGAAGGCAAGCCTCCAGGTCCAGGACTCAAACCACGATCAACCATGTGGTAGTCCAGCGCCCTTAACCACCAAGCCACCTGCTGACCCTGAAAAATGCTTTGATATTGCAAGAATAAGACTCTGTGCACATTAAACTTCCCTTTTTTCTCTCCTCCAGTGCCTGGCACTGAATCGATGGATAAACAAAACGTATTGTACATATGCAATAAAATATTAACCAGCCTTAAAAAGGAAGGCAATTATGACACATCCTATAGTATGGATGAACCTTTAGGAAAGACATAATGCATATGAACTCAATCAATCTGATGAGTGTTGGTAGTTCATATAAGTAGAATCACTCAGCATTTCTTTTTGTGATTTTATTTCACTTTGCATTATATCTTTCCTCTTTTTAGTTTCTGTGGTTTTGTTGATAATTTTCCATCCTAACAGGTGTAAGATGGTATCTTACTGTGGTTTTGATCTGCATTTCCCTAATGATTGGTCATATTGGGTATCTTTTCATGTGCTTATTGGCCATCTGTAAACCTACTTTGGAGAAATGTATTAAAATACTTTGCTGATTTTTTTTAATCCAGTCATTTACTTTTTGCTGTTGAATTGTACGAGTTCTTTATATATACCAGATATTAGCTCTTTATCACATTTATGATTTCCAAACTTTATTTCCTATTTTGTGGATGGTCTTTACATTCTGTTGTGTTCTTTGATGCACAAAAGTTTCCATTTTTATGTAGTTCATTTTATCCATTTTTTTAGTGTTTTATGTTTTTGGTGTCATAAACTAGGATTCATATTTCTAAAATATAACTTTATTATTCAGAATTGTTTTTACCTTCTGAATATTAATTTTACATGTTTTGGCTTAATTGACATTACATTTTCTATACACTTACTATGTTGTTATTGGATTGAATAATCATTATTACCAGATTGGTTACTGCACTTGTAAAAGTAATCTTTCCTTCAATTGAAAGAGAAAATTGGGGGCCGGTAAGTGGCATGGTGGCTAATGCACTGGGCTCCCACACTGTTGATCATGGTTTGACTCCTGGACCTGGGTGGCTTACTTTCTCACTCATCCCCCCCTGCCGGTCAAATTAAAACATAATAATAATGAGGATGAATACAATGAAATAAAATAACTCTTTAAAAAAGAAAGAGAAATATGGATATATGCAATGCCTACCTCTGC